CTTGGTGCTTGGGGGGCCAGAGTGGGAGGGCTTCTGGAGTTCTGGCCCCGCTGGCAGACCTCCCGATGGCACCTGGGTTTTGGCCACTGTGTGAAACAGAGTGTTGGACTGGATGGGCCACTGGCCTGATCCAACATGGCTTCTCTTATGTTCTTATCCTCTTAACACGAACCATCAAGGAATTAAAAAAAAAACTTGCTGAAAGGCAGAACCAACAAGAAAACATTTTTAACGTATTCTTCTATTTTACCACGGCTGTCAGACAAAGAAACGACCTACGGAAATGCTAAATGGGCCAAACGGGGAAGACAGGTTTTTGAAATCCTGTTTACCCAGTGGAACGCATTTAAAGAATGGATTTTGCAGCTCGGTGAACACCCCAGCGGTGGGAATTTAATCCGTGAAAAGAACAGTGGCGGAAGCCACGGCCTTCGACTCTTGCTTCGCCAGCTAGATGGCCCTTCTGACCCAATAAATCTCAGGTCTCCATGAACCCAGGGACAGCCGATTTCCGCCACTCAAACGTACGCGACACTTTCAACGCATCTGCTTGGCTGGGCATTAGGGCACGTTATTTAATTAACATGATTACAGGGGTCACGTGGATTTAGCCGAATGACGGAGACAAGCCCTATTAGGAAACCACTGCAAAATAAGCGACAGATGCAGCCGTTTGCGTTAACGAACTAAGCCAATTTTGCTGCCCTCGGGAGCTTTGGGAACTACGGACTTGTTTTGTCCAGAGCTCACGTAGGGTGTTCTCCTGTGTGCAGCCTCACTGGAAGCTTTACTGCAGATGTCCCAGAGTCCACGCAAATGTACGAAAGGGATGTGTGGTGCACTGAGTTCGCTCGTAGTAGAACAAGGCGGGATAAAAGTATTTTTTATAAATAAACTGTTCTTCCTAGGCTAGTCCACTCGCGGTGTTTATATGTACTATGTTGCCCTTATTCCCCAAGGGCAGGAGAGCACTTTATCAGTGAGTGCCCCTGCCCCCCGAGGTTAGGAGACCGTTTAAAATGAGACAACAGAGAGTGAAAAAAATGTGGAATTCACTGCCAGGGGATGTAGTGACGGCCACAGGAATAACCGGCTTTCAAAGGGGATTAGACAGATTCATGGAGGATAAGTGAGGGCCACAGGAATAAACGGCTTTCAAAGGGGATTAGACAGATTCATGGAGGATAAGTCTATCAATGGCTACTGGCCATGGGGGCTGAGGGAAACCTCCTCATCAGGGGTAGAACCTGGCCTCTATGTCCTGTTGTTGGCAGCCCAGAAGAACTGGTTGGCCACTGTGTGAGACAGGATGCTGGATTAAACGGACCACGGGTCTAATCCAGCAGGGGTTTTCTGATGTTCTTATGAACGCCTCAGCCTCTCTGCCCTGTCGTTGGCCCTCCAGAGGAACTGGTTGGCCCCTGAGTGAGACAGGAAGCTGGACTTGCTGGACCTCTGGTCTGATCCAGCAGGGTTCGACCACTGGTCTGATCCAGCAGGGCTCTTCTGATGTCCTTAGGAAGGCCTCGGCCTCTATGCCCTGTTGTTGGCCCTCCAGAGGAACTGCCAGTCAGAGTCAACATTACTGGCTTTGATGGACCAAGGGCCTGATTCAGTATATAGCAGCTTCGTGTATGTGTTGGGGAAGGTGCGTGGCTCAGCGGTAGAGCCTCTGCTTGGCATGCAGAAGGTCCCATGTTCAGTCCCTGGCATCTCCAGTTAAAAAGGACCAGGCAGTAGGTGATGGGAAGGACCTTGACCTGACACCCTGGCTCAATGGGAGAGCATCTACTTGGCATGAAGAAGGTCCCAGGTTCAGTTCCTGGCATCTCCAGTTAAAAGGACCTCTGCCTGAGACCCTGGAGAGCCGCTGCCAGTCTGTGCAGACAATACTGACCTTGATTGACCAAGAGTCTGATTCAGTAGAAGGCAGCTTCATGTATTCACGTGTTCAGTTAAATAATAGTGTCTGATCCCCGTGACCCACCTTAGCTTCCTCCTCTTGTGCTTTCTTCACAATCGCCTGCAACTGGACCTCTCTCTTAAATTCGGCATGGAGGAGTTTCTCTTCCATCATTCTCCGCCTCTGATCCAACAATTCCTCCTTCCATTTCCGGACATCCTTTTCCTGTGAGAAAAGGAAGCAGGCCATAATGAAAAAGAAAGCATCGTTTCCATGCTGCATTTCTTATTATACCAAATAACGGCATGCATGTAAGTAGATCCAGGTGGGCGACCATGTTGCTCTGAAGCACGGGTACAAAATCAGAGTCCAGCGGCACCTTTAAGATCAGCAAAGGTTTATTCAAGGTATGAGCTTTCGTGTGCAAGGCACACTTTTTTCAAATACACTGGAATGGTGTGTAAGGTTATAGACAGAATGGTGTGTAAACTTATAGTTGTATAGAATGGTGTGTAGAATGGTGTGTAAACTTATAGACAGGTGATGATGTTTAAGATATGCAAAGTCCAAAATAACAAGCTAAGGTTATAAGGTCAACTGCTAGAAAGCAATAAATATGTCCGAATAGCAAATAAATGTCCAAAGGTGTCTTTTATAATTGTGGGAAGCAAACCGAGAATCTCCATTCTGTCCTCCCAGGTGTGAAGATGACTTAACTGCATTTTTTTGAGGTTGATGCAAAACATCCCAGTATCCCTGGCATTACATTCAGTGTTCTAATATACTATTCTGAAAAAGAAAAACACTAAAATACAGAGGATTCATAGTCTTCCTTGTTGAGAATACATATGTGAGTAACTTAGGGTTAAACGAACACACACGTAAATCTACCTTATATTGAGTTGGACCTGTGGTCTATTGAAGAAGAAGAGGAGGAGGAGGAGGAGGAGGAGATTGGATTTATACCCCGCCCTTCACTACCCGAAGGAGTCTCAGAGTGGCTTACAAACTCCTTTCCCTTCCCCTCCCCACAACAGACACCCGGTGAGGTAGGTGGGACTGAGAGAGCTCTTGACAGAAACTGCTCTTTTTCAAGAACAGCTCTTATCAGAACTATGGCTTGCCCAAGGTCATCCAGCCAGGTGCAAGTGGAGGAGTGGGGAATCAAACCCGGTTCTCCCACATTAGAGTCCGCGCACTTAACCACTACACCAAACTGGCTGAGGTGAGTATTGTCTATTCAGACTGGCAATGGATTTCCAGAGTCTCAGGTAGAGGTCTTTCCCAAAACCTACCACCTGGTCCATTTAACTGGAGATGCCAGGGACTGAACCTGGGACCTTCTGGATGACAAACAGAAGACCCTTGGTCCATCAAAGGTCAGTACAGTCTACTCAGACAGGCAATAGCTCTCCAGGCTGTCTGGCAGAGGTCTTTCACATTGCCTAATCCAATGTCCTTTAATTGGAAATGCCGGGGATTGAACTTGGGACTTCTACATGCCAAGAAGATGCTCCACCACTGAGA